GGCCATGGTATTGTAATATCTCCCGATGGTAATTATTATCTCACCATTGCCAGGTTGAATTTTAATTGCACAAACAATGTGGCTGAATACAAAGTCTGTGTTATGGATTTACAAGCAGCGATTAAAAAAAAAATCAAAGTGTTAGATGTATTTAGAGATTCAGCTCTAGTCATCTATCAGTTGTGAGAAAAATGAAAAATAAGAGATTTCAAGTTGATATGGTACCATAAGTACATTTCTGAATTAGTTAAGCAATTTGAAGAAGTTCAGTTTGAGCATTTACCTAGAGAGGATAACCAAATTGCTGATGCACTGGCTACTCTAGCTATAATGATTAAAATAGATATAAATATTGAAATCCAACCCATCAAGCTGGATGTGAAGGATGAATCAGCACATTGTTCAAGTGTCAAAGAAGAAGTTGATGGGAAGCCATGGTTTTATGACATTATGTAATACATTAAAAGCCAACAATACCCAGAACATGCAATAAAAAATAATAAAAAGACTATCAGAAGGTTGACTATGAGTTTTTTCCTAGATAGAGATGTCCCTCTATAAAAAGGGTCAAGATCAAGTGCTTTTAAGATGTGTGAATGCAGCTAAAGCGAAGAGGATTATTGAAGAAGTGCATGATAAAATTTGTGGGGCATATGCAAATGGTCATATGATGGCAAGGCAAATTATGAGGATTGATTACTATTGATTGACAATGGAGAGTGACTGTATTAATTATGCTAGAAAATATCATAAGTGTCAGATCTATGCTAATAAGATCCATGCTCCTCTAACAACATTGCACGTTTTGGCTCCCCCCATGGCCATTCTTTATATGGGGCATGGATGTCATTGGTCTCATTACTCCAAAAGCTTTGAATGGGCATAGATTTATCTTTATGATGATTGATTACTTCACCAAATAGGTAAAAGCTACATCATATGCTAACGTGACGCGATCTATAGTATGCAAGTTCATAAAAAAAGAGATAATATACAGATATAGGCTTTCAAAGACAATTATTTTTTATAATGCCAAAAACTTAAATAACAAAATGATGAATAAAGTGTGCACTAAATTTAAAATCCATCATTGTAATTCGGCACCATATTATCCTAAGATGAATGGGTAGTGGAGGCTACAAACAAGAATATCAAAAGAATCTTAGAAAAAATGATTGATACTTATAAAGATTGATATGAGAAGTTACTTTTTGCTTTGCATGCTTATAGAACATCAGTCCGAATATCTATTAGGGCCACCCCATTATCTTTGGTATATAGAATGGAAGCTTTGTTACCAGTTGAAGTGGAAATTCCTTTGCTGAGAATTCTGATGGAGGTAGAGTTAGAAGAAGCAGAATGGGTTCGAAATCACTATGAACAATTGAATCTCATTGAAAAGAAAAGACTTACAGCACTTTGTCATAGTCAATTATATCAAAATAGGATGATAAAAGCATATGACAAGAGAATCTGTCCTTATCACTTTAGGGAATGAGACTTAATGCTGAAAAAGATCCTTCCAAATCAATATGACAATCGAGGAAAATGGACACCAAATTAGAAGGGCCTGTACGTGGTGAAAAAGGTATTTTCTGATAGGGCATTAATTTTAACAGAGATGGATGAAGGTGATTTACTTATTTCGATAAATTCAAATACTGTAAAGAAATATTTTACTTAAAAAAAAGCAAAAACAAAAAGTGAAAAAGAATGATGTATCTAAGCTAAAAACCTAAAAAATACAGCTTGGATGAGAAAAAGAAACATCATTCCATAACACAGGGCAAGTATAGTTTGATAAACTCTAAAGGATCAAAGAAGTCATTTGATTTAGTTTCAGAAAAAAAATCTGGGAATATTTTGTTTATGATTATCTTATGATCATTCTTTAGACACTTTTGTTTTGACTCAAACACTTTTGTTGTCATGCACTTATTATCAATCTAATGAAATATGCTATCTTTCTTTTGGAAATAACATCTATCCATTCCTTTATTCTCATTTGATATTTTTGTTTACCGTACAAATAAGAGAAATGTGTGATTGCATTTTGTTTGTCTTGAACTTAAAATGATGAAAAAAAACACAAATACGAAAGATATTAGCATTACTTTTCTAAAAGTTGACAAAGACAGATGAAAAAAGATGAGACAAGACATTGATGTTGTAGACTTTTGAAGAAGAAAAATATTGTTAAGGAAGAATACAATGGTTAGATGTTAAGAACAGATTAGTCAAATGGCAATTTATGGAGAATTCTGATAAAAGAAGCCAAAAAGCGAGAGATTTCGAGAACCTTTTTACTACAATGAATAATTTTGATTGCATTACATGCATTGCATTTAGAGCACTCAATAAATGCATCCATGAGTAGTTATACTAAGGATAGAGACTTTCCATTTCCTAATGAAAAACAAGATTTTTATATTCAGATGAGGATAATAATCAAACAGAAGATTTCAAAAGAGAGAAATTTACTTGTTCAAAGATGAAAACTAGGTTTGGAAAATAGATGAAATTTTTTTTAAAGTTGTTGAGCTTCTGCTAAGAAGAGCCTTTTTCAAGATGAGAATTTCTTTAAAGTTGTTGAACTTCTGCTGAGATGAGCTTTTTTTTTTAAGAAAGAATTTTAAAGTTGTTAAACTTTAGTAATTAATTGATAAATTTAGTAGTAAATTGTAAATAACTTAACAGTAAATCAATGATAATTTAGTAGCGAATTATTAAAAATTAAAAGTAAATCAATATAATTTGGTAATAGTTAGGGGTGAGCAGAAATTGGTTCAAACCAATTTAACCAACCAAAATCGATAAAATATGGTCAATTTGATTCTGTCTAGTTGATTTTCAATTATAGTAGGTTAGCGATTAGTTAAATTAGTTAAATCGATAAGCTATCAATTCCTAAAATTAATAACCGAACTAACCAAATTAACCAACTGTATAATAACTAAGTGTAAATACGTATATTTTTCACACAAAAAAAAAAAATTCTAAACTTAACTTACTACTTCTAACCCCTATCAAGACCCACCCACGCTTGTGCCCATGCCCTCTTTCTGCTTGACTACTTTTTACATCTCTTCCTCTTGTGTCTTTGCATCCTTATTTGCTCGACTACTTCTCTACCTCTCTCCCTCTCGCATCTTTACCTTTCTCGCCTTTAATAGTGTGTGTATATAGATATATATATATTATCTTTATAGTTGCTAGTATGAAATATATAGGAGTATATCGTAATATAATAACATGAAACATGTATATTAACTCTATAGTTATTTTATCTTTTAATTAAATTTGTAAGTAAAAATAACATATATAGTGAAAAATCAAATTAAAATAAACTATGGTTTAGAAGTCTTGCTTAAACATTGTTTTTCATGCTCAAGCTGGAGTTATTATTTTATCAATAAATAATACTTTTTTTCTCTCAAATTCTATTTTCACTGATTTTCACAAAGTTTGAAAAAGCTTTGATTTTATTGTAGTTAATATTAAAATTAATGAATTTTTTATAAAATTGAATTTTCATAATTTTTAATATATAAAAACAAAAAATATTAAAATAATTTGAAATTTTTAAAAAAAGCTTTAAGTGTTCAAAAAATAAGGCGATAATATTTTTGCCACCTCCAAAAGAAAAATGAACAAATAAAATAAGATGAAAGAAGTATATTTTTGTTGAATTTAATTTTAAAATGCATTTAAAATATTATTATTATTAAACAAGAAAAAGACTAATAAAGTCAATTTTCATGTCAGATTTTTAAATGTTAATGACACTCAACCTGAAATACAAATATTTTTATTAAAAGTGTTTATGGATCAAATTAACTTAAGTGGATTAAGTTAACTTAAGCTTGGATTCAATTTATGAATATTTAATATTAAATAAGGATAAACTAATAAAGTCAATTCCATATCAAATTTTTAGATGTCAATGAAACCCAACTTGAAATATAAATATTTTTGTTAAAGATGCTCGTGATTAAATTAAATCAAATTCAAATTAAGCTTAGAAATGGTATAAACACCAAACAACTTAAGGTCGTCTAGATTACTTTTTCTAAAAAAAAAATTTAAAGAAAATAAAAACATGCTTTTTTATTAAATTTTTAGTAATTTTGTTTTTATTAAAATTTAAAACATGAATAAATTAATATATTTTTTCATGTTTATTATCAACATTATAATAGTATATATTGTCCTTGATATAATATAAATTACATAAAATATATAAAAATAAAAATAATGAAAAAAATCAATTTATACAAAATATTTTTTTTAGTTTTATATATATTTTTAATCATTAATTTTAATAAATCTAAACAATGAAATTAAATTAACCTTTCCTATTTTACTTATCTCTTTCATATTTTCTATCTATAAAAATCAAGTATAAAAAAAATATAAAACTAGAAAAATTTTACACCATTTATATTTATATTGATCACTCTTAAAAATAATATATATTATATAATTAAAAAAAGGGCCGGAATGTTAAAGTCACGTTATTTAAACGGGCCCTGTTTTATCCAAAAACTTTTAACAAACACATTTAATAAGTTTTAATATTACTATTCATATCATTTCTCATATCAAAACAGCTCAGCCTCCTGCAGTCCTAACCTCTCCATGAGATGAATAAATTGGCCGCCCATTAGGCATGTCTACTAGAAACTTCTATGGATAATGGCCTTGGTGTCAAACAATCTGTACTTCATTTTTTTTTAATTCTTTTTTTTATTCAAAACTTACGTACGCCAACGAATCAACCTTAAACAGTAACGCGTGCAATGCAAGCATCATCGTCTCATTTCTCTCGTTTTTTTTTTTTTTAATTTTTAATTTTAAATAGGTAATTTAAGATAAAATGTATTTAATTTCTCAAATATTATGCATTTAAGACTAAAAAAATTGAAATCAATTTTTTTCTCATTTTATTTGTGTTTATTTGATACAAATTAATGAAATAATTTTTTCCAATATATTCATTATTCAGTTTTTTTAATGAAATAATTTATGTTAGAAAATAAGTGAATAAAGGACAAATGCTCCAATAAGTAACTTTACATTATAAGTCAGAATTAAAAAAAAAAAAAGAAAACTAAAATAAAAAAACAGACAAACTAAATCCCTAATGCATAAAACATTAAAAACACCGAAAGGAAAAATAAAAGGGGCTAATTATTTACATTGAACAACATTGCAATCAGCCAACTTGAAGTTAGTAGGCGCGTTGGGTCCACGCAGCTTAAGAGCCGCTTGATCATAAGCAACAGCGGCTTCTTCCGCCGTATCGAAAGTCCCCAACCAGAGCCTCATCCTTCGCCCATCTCTAATTTCCGCTGCCCATCTCCCCCACGGCCTTTGTCTCACTCCTCTATACCTCTTCCCCTTACCTTGACTCGACCCCGCGACTACGTCGTTCTCCTTCTTCGACATTCCGATTGTGATTTCATTAATGAGCTTCTTCTTTGGTTGCTTTTGGTTTTTCTTCGGTGAAGTCGTTTCGTCGTCGCTGGAAGAGTCAGTGGCGTCGGCGTCCGTCACGGTTATCCGGACAATTCGGCGGCAAAACGGTGGTTGGGGTTCTTGGTTCGGCTGCGGCAGGGACATGTCTTTCTGGCTCTTTTTTTTTTTTTTTTTTTTAATGAGAGGGGGTCAAATAGTTGGTTCGTATTTAAACTTATTATTTTCCGTTGGAATATTCTTTCACATTGAGAATAAATTTTTTTTGTCAATATTGCAAAGAGACCCCTCCGCTTCCACCAAGTTAATACATTAAAAACTTAAGCCCGAGCATATAAGTCCAGTCCAGCTTACCCATTTCATATTAGGTTTGTTAATAAAGTATTTTTAATCAATTTATAATTTTTAGTTTTACATATTTTTTGAACTCTTAATTTTTAACGAAACTATTAATTTTTATCAATTTAAGAGATAAGATTAAATTAATGTTTTGTTTTTACTTATTTCTTAAATTTATTAAAATTAAAAGTTAAAAATATGTAAAATTAAAAAAATTTACATTATGTAAATAAATCTTTCTCTTTTAATATTATTGAAATATATATAATTAAAGTTAGATGTATATATTTAATAATTAATTATTAATATAATAATGTTTCAAATTAAATTAAATTAATTTGAATTTAGAAGTTAATATCTAATGTTGATCTACAAGATTAATAAGGAAATAGATAAAATTTAGTTAATATTTTAATCTAACAATAAAATTGTGAATTAAGTAAAATTAGTAGTAATTAATATGCATATTGCTTTTTTTTTTTTGAAATTATAAGTATAACTTAAAAATATAATCAAATAGTATATTTTATGTATAAAAAATTATTGAATAATCAAACAAATGTATTAACTAACAAATTAAAATATAAATAGAACCAAATTCACACAGGAAGATTTAAACCTAAAACCTCAAGGTTTTAGGATTTCATTCTTATCACTAAACCAAGACTTCAGTGACAAATGTTGCTTGGTTTTCCTTTCTTTTTCAATGGTGTTCAATAAAAATTTAGGTTTTTTCAAAGTTTACATTGTTTTTATTGTTATGTCTAAGTCCTTTATGTTAATTGCTAAGAAAAATAGCGATTGTTTCTTTTTCTTTTGGAAAAATTTAGAAGTCTTTGATTCAAGTTTAGGCAATTAGTTAGGTATAAAGGAGAAAAAGATCTGCTAATTCTTAATTTATATTAAAAAATTCTTAGGTTAATAAGAAAATAAATGGAGAATATTTAATTTAACAAGATTACATCCAACACGTTGCTGCGGCTTTTAATTATCTTTTTCATTTTCAAATAAATTTAAAAAAAATAGTAAAAAAGCTTTAAATGTAACAATAAAATGTGATTTATAAATTATAACAAAAGCTTGTTATCTAAATATATAAGACTAATAAGTAAAAGTAAAAGTCTTCTTGATAATACTTGAAACATAAAAAGGTCTTTGATTTAGATACCTAAAAGTTTCTATGCAAAGCAACCTAAGATATGTAATAATAACTACTGCAAATGTATTGTTTAAAGTTAAATGAAGCATTCAAACTTAATTTCTACTTCATCATATCTGTGAGCAAATATTTCTATATACAAAGAGTTAGTTGATTAGTGAATATAATTTAAATAAATTAGTAATAATTGTTGATCACATGAAATCTTAAGTATATTTTGAATAATAAACTTATTTATTGTTTACCTGTGATCTAGGTGCTATTTGAACATTGAATCTTTCCCTTTCCTGTTATAACAAAGGGGAAAAACGTATTATATTAGTTAGATTTTCTTGTTATGAATTGTTATTTATAAGTTTTTAATTTAATTATTCTTGTGAATAATGTATACGTTGTTCTTAGTTTTTTGGTTGGTGATTCTTCAGGGAATATATCTGCTAGGATAGATGACTGTGTAAGTGATTCTAGTAAGCTGTTATCATCCATTTCCCTTTTCTTTTCTATTTTGATCTGAGGTGCTTTTAACATCAACAGGGAAGGTTTTTCTTCATCATCATCAAGCTGATATATGGTATGAACCGAAAATGTATTTCACATTTCTCTAAGGCTTGCTTTGATAATGAAACTTGAAAAACTCTTTTTTGATTTTTGAGATTTTTCAAAGGGATTTGAAGCACTGTAAGGTTTCTTTTTGCTAATGTGAGAAGAGCCATCATTGATTCTTTCACCAATCTATTTTTAGATTCCCAAAAAACATGAATTGCATAATTCTAGTATGATCCTCTATTGTTATTAGCTGTTTGCATATGTAAAGTAAATGTTTGTAATGGTTGAAAGGGAAAAAATATGTTTAAGAAAAGAATTTTATTTTATAAAATGATTCAAACCTGGGATTATGAACTTTTCCATTGTGTTTAGAGCACCAAAACTTTCCATCACATGGTATTACTATCTTATTGCATTTAGTGTAAGAGTTGTAGAACCATCTTTGGGAAGCATCGATTTCAATAATTTTTACTAAACAGGTGAACTTAATGTTCTAGAATTGTAAAATTAATATTTTGTATCAAGAAAAGTTATTGAAAACAATTTGCAAAAAAAGATAAATAAACTTTAAAAGGTTACCATTGCTTTCTTTGGTTCAATTTTAAGCAATTCTTTAATTATCATTCTGCTTTGTTTTTTCTCATCTTCTGGTGGAAGTTTGGGTGTAATGTTCAGTTTTAAGAGTTGGACTTTATTGTTTTGATGATAACACCTAAAAAAAATTTCAAACTTTTTCATAATGGGAAATTGTAAATGTAATTATGAGATAGTTTTTTTTTTTTTTTCTAACTTACTCTCTTTTGAAATCATTAGCTTTAGTAATGTTAGGCTTAACAATGATTCTTGAAGCAGAACATGTAGCTATTGAAAGTTGCCCCTTTTTTTCATGTGAAAGCTGTTTTAGATTTCCAAAAACCTATTTACCAATTAGAACTTAGAAAAATAAAACAAAAACATATAAATTTTCTTAAAATTGTATGAAAGAGTTAAGAGATACTGATCTATGTATTTTGTTACAGTCTTTGCAGCAAAAATAATGTTAGAATTCTTTTAATCTTTCAAGAATTATTCCTTTTTTAGCTTGTGTGCAAAGTCTCCCCAAAGTGTAACACCTATGATATCATTTTTGCAAAAAACATTTATATGTAAATTTACATCTGTTTGTGATAGTATATAGATTCAAATTTTTTGAGTGGAACAAACTCTGATATTTGAATTTCAAGATTTTTTTTTTTTGTGATTGCTTTATAGCTTTCTCTAACATAGGTGGATGTTATTTTCCCAATGCTAACTATTATTCTAATGACATCTGAGGCAAAATAAGAAATTAGTATCGAAATGTAAAACTCTTTGTTGTAGTGATAAAAATGATACAACTTATTTAAAAATAATAAATTACTTGATAGTATTTCATTATTTTTTTTTTTTTTCAGTTTTTTAATTTTGAAAAAGTTGCAGTGATAAGCAAGGAAGCTGCCAAGTACCTTGCTTGACTTAATTACCTTTGTTGTTTTAACAAAGTTAATGGTATATGGGTTAAGAACAACATCGTATAGCTTTTTTCTTTCACTTACAAAGAAGTTGGAAATAAGAAAAACATCATTTTCTTTTAGGATATTTTCTTATGCAGCCATATCAGTTGGTTTGATAATTCCATGAATAACATTATTCTGGTTTTCAAAGTATCATTTTATGCAATGAACATTAGCATATTTATAAATTTATTAATGTGTAAAGGATTAAAGGTTGTTATAAATTGTAAACACATTAATTTTTAGAAGTTTACCTCTTTGTCAATGGCAAAAAAATCATGGTTAATCAGAGAGTTGTTTGCTTGATGATTGACTGAACTACAAAGACGGAGTATCTTAACATCAACTATACATTTTTTATTTTTGATTTTGAGATTTGATATCATGATGTGTGCCATTATTGTTGAAAAATTGAAATTGTTATTACAAAATAATAAAACATTATTGTTGGTAATCTTTTCTATGACAAATAATTTAAAGGCATTCAGTAAATGCAATGTTCTATAGGGTTTTGCATTACTAATTTTTTTTTAAGGCATAATTAATATTTTTGGTTTATATACAAAACTTTGGTTTTGGATGATGAATTCCTTGACTTGGTTGTTCAATGGAAGTTTCAGTTACTCAACTGAAAGAAATAAATGTTAGTCAGTTGAATATCGTAAAGGCAGTAAACAACATAAAGAAAACCTATTAGAAAAAAGTAATATGAGATAGAAATAATAATTAACTATTAAAGGCGTAGAAGAATATTTTTAACTATTTGTATGTAAAAAGTATTACTAATTTATACCTGGGATCAAATCTTCAAAAATTTCATGAAAGATAACATATTTAGTTACCTTCATATTTAATTCATTCTTATTTTTTTTATTAAAATTTTAAGTCATTTATAAGATGTAATTTTTGATAGAGCAACATAAAGTTGGCCATGACTAAAAACTAGTTTAGGTAAATATAAATCAACAAAATTTAATGTTTGTTCTTCACTTTTATTTATAGTCATGTTCCATTGCATAAACCAAGGCTTTGATTAATGTTCCATACCAACAAGATTACACAACCTTTTTTCCAAATCAGTTCAAGATTTGCAATTATAAGAAATGTCAACTAATTTAGAAATTCTGACAGGTAAAAGAGATCTTAGTTTGATGTGTTAATGGTTTCAAGAAATATTGAGACAAAGCTAAGGTATTTTTTTAGTTCTCTTGGAACAAAAGACAAAACATGATGGTTGATAATGTACAGTTTCATTATATGGTGTAAGGATTACCTTTTGTTTAAGATAAATATCATTAGCATAACTGATGACTACGTTGTCATAAATGACTAAAAAATTGCATGAATTAGGTCATCATTGTAAGTCACCAATGATCTATTTCACCTTTCGTTGTAGGTCAAATGTAGTCTTACCTAAGATTGAATGTAATGGTAGTTCATTGCCGGTTTTCCATTTTTTTCTACAAAAAGTTTACTTATTTGTAAAACATTAAATGTATCAAAACATTTTTCCTCTTAAGATTTCAATATTTTAGCTCTATTTTTTCTAGATTGAGATATAAATGTTAGCTTTCTATTAATGTAATCGAATCATAGGTTGAGGAAGTTGACAACAATAGTCTCAACAACTAACATGGCTTTCTTATATTAAACTTTCATTTTAATAACCAAAATATCTTTGATTAAATACATTATAGTATCAACATTCATGAATCAAGTAATTAACATTTAACATAAACATACCTTAATTTGAGTCACAAGATACTCCTCCTGCAATGTTATTGATGGCTCTCGAATAAACTTTTTAAAAGGTTTATAGACAAATATTTCTTTAATAAAACACACCATTAAGGCAACATTAATGAACAAAAAAATAAACATTATAAAAAACATACTTTAATTAGAGGTGCAAGACACTATATATGTAGTTGAATTGCTATCTCACAAATTTTTTTTCAAAAATAATATACAATCAGTGAAAATATTAACTTTTGATCAAATGCATAATGAATTTAAAAATGACTATGATATGTATGCTTGAAAATAAATTTAAACTCATTTAAATTATTAACTTACCCAAATCAATAACCGCAATAATTGTAGTCATTGAAGAAATTTTATGGATGATGATATTAATTAAATTGATAAGAAAAACAAGAAAGAATTTGGTTTCTTTGAAATGAAAGTTTATCAACAAATTGAAAAGAAAAATATTATAAAAATAAGTTTTTTTTTTTTTTTTTAAGAAATTGAAAAAGCTTTTAGAAGCCGATCTTTCCTTTCTTCTAAAAGTAATCTTTTTCATTGTTAATTATTTTAAAAAATTAATAAAAGGTTAAGAAAATTAGTAAAAGTGGAAGGTAAAAGGATTGAAGATCTTAAATGAAATTCACATTCTTCTCCCTTTAATGATTTATTGAATGAAAAAGGTCAAAAAAATTATAACAAAAAAAAAAAAAACAAAAAAATCAATAACATTCACTTAAAAATAATATTACCAACAAAATTTTATTTATGAAAATTTTTCGTCACGATAAATTATTAATGAAATATTAAGTAAATTTAATTGAAAAAAAAAATCCATTATCAACAGGATACGGATGAAATTAACATTATTTATAGCAAAAATTACCTATGGAATATCTTACAGACGAAAATTTTCCGTCGATAACCAAACTGAATAAATTTCAAATCCCCTTCCCAGAATAGGGAAAACCCATCCCTAATCCCTCTCTCCCTCTCCCCCACCGTGAGAAAGTCGCCGGCCTGTAAATCGGTATGAATAAAGATGCAATAGACAGCAGTAGAATAAAGATGCTACCGATGCTGCTGTACTGCTTTTCTCCTTTAGCTGGGTTCAAACAGGTTTTTAAGGCTGTGTTTGCGCCAATATAAAATAAAATTTCATGGTTCAGCTTGGGCAACGGGATTTGTGCTGAGAATTTAGGTTTTTGGCTTAGGGAATTGGAGATTTACATAGAGTTTTTATAGCAATTTTTTATGGCCATTATTTATCATTAGAGGAGGAAGAAAAGTAACACTCTTTTGTTTGAAGAGATTAGCTGTTTTACTTTTAATCTATAAAATGATCCATGAAGGTGGAGTTTGTCTATTATTCCCAGATTCCACCTCATGTTTACCGGTGACTAATAATATGATGAAGTAGAAGCATTATATTGTATTGGTGTTATCTTCATAGGGGAAATAAGGAGGTGGTAGAATTCTCTGTTTGGTGATGTAATTCTGCTCATGCAGTGGATAGTTCAGTAAATCCTTTGTTTGCAATAGTTTTCTTTGGTTGCAAAAGAATTGTTAGGATGCAGCTTTGGTTTGTCTTGTACTGCAAAATGCAATGCTCAATGTGTGTTGATTTGCATTTTATTCTCTTGTGTTTTTCATTTCATGATGTTTGAATGGGATGAGGAGCTTTAGATATCAGAAATATACGTTTTATAAACATTTTTTACTCTTTATTTCATTGTATTCTTTTGCTGTTTTCTTGCTATATCTAATGTTTGATATTTGCAGGCAGAGCTTGAGTCTTTTAAAATGGAATATGCAAATGCATGATTGGAATGTAATGCAGCTGATGTACGCGCTAATATATTGGCTTCTGAAGTCATTGGTTTAGAAAAGAAGGTAACAAATTATTTTAATGGGTGAAGGTTTTCTTCGTTTTCTACTATCATTCTATTCATTATAAAACTTCTATCTCTCTAGATAATAATGCCGATAGAGTGGCATATTGCCATGTGTATAATATGCATGGTTGTAAGTTTTACTTTAGGCATGTAATAAGCTTAAAGGTTTTAAAGTGTCAGTTTAGCTTGACTGGCTCTCAAAAGGAATTTTTTTATATTGATTCGACCTTGTTAATTTGCTTGTTTTAGATGATACTCTTAGTATTTTGCTTATCTTCCATTGAATATATTTCTGTATAAAATTGCTGACACTGGAGTAGCATCACCTTTGGCATCTGCTAGATTAAAATGTTGTTTTTTATATCCTTTTTGTAGGCACTTAGACTAAGGTTGATTTCTTATTTCTTCTCCATAGTTTCTCCAATTATATGTGCCTTCTGCCTTCTGCCTTCTGCCTTCTGCTTTCTGCCTTCTGCTTTCTGCCTTCTGTGTTCAAAAGTAACCCTCTAGATTGTAATGCTTACGCATGATGCCCTGGTATAGAATTGAAAAAGGTTATTGTTGCCATTATTAAACCATTGCTTAGATTGTCTAAGAAATTTTCTTTGTTTATTCTATGATCTAGAAACTCTCAAGGATGACATTGAGATATTTATTGTATCAAATTCAAAACACAAATAAAATCATAAATTCTTTATTTGAAGCATTTGGTCTTGTGGAAGATTCAGAGTAGGTAGTTGTCAGGATGATGGATAAGTTACTTCAACTCTTCAATTTTTGTAATGTACTTGTGCAGATACGAGTTAGATGCTTCAAAGAACACACGGATATAAGCAAATCATCCCAAATAGTCATAGATACAAGGAAAACTTAAGGAAAACTGAAAGCACTTGTGCCAGGCAATGGAAATGTCCATATTTGAACTTGAGTTTGAGTTACATAAAGGAAAATTGAATATCTGACAAGCGTTGTTGCACTGCATATTGACAAGCTGCCAGACCTAGTGCTTAAGCTATCTTCAGAAGTCTGATAAGCAATTGTAGTAGTGAACTGGTATTTTTAAATTGCAATGATTTGCCATGGTCCTTATTTTAGTGTTGGTTTTATTTACTCAACTTTTCCAGCAAGCACGGATGCTACTTCTGATGAGAGGAAAATCAATAACAGTAATGATATCTCCTTTCCCTGTTGTTATATGTATGGTTGTCCAATTTATAATTGGATATTAAGCATGTAATAAACCATTTGTCCAATTTGTTTTCTTGTTTTTTGCTTGCATTTTTTGAATTGAATGTCCAATATTATATCTCTGCTTTTCCTTTTATTTGAATGCAGCCTGCCAACATGGTGGTTCAGCCTTCATGGAAGTATAACGATGATCGTAATCAAGTTGACAAGCAGTTCCACAAGTTGTGAGTTATTTTTTTATTTTTTCTTGTTAATGATACATTTATGATTTGAATCATTAAGTCTCTAAGCTGCATGTTTGCAATCTGAAAATCAGAGGTTGTATGAGTGGGATCCATTAAAATTCAACTCTGTACTTTTATCAGGTACCTAGAGAAAAGGGAATTAATTGAGGTCAAAATCATGGCCGTGCATACAATTCCATATGTTTAACTCCTGCTTTACTGCATACAATTCCATGTCCATAATATTAAGCCTGAGTTTCATTGTGAATTTGGAAACAAACATGTTATTCTATGGACATAGGCAACAGTGTGCAAGGGAGAGAGACCATATAATGGGTTGAGTTGACAGGCTGTGCAATTGGGTGCAGCAATGGTGCACCAGGCACTCATTGTCACTAGCAAAAAGGTCCCACTGGGGCAGAATTACGTGTTTCAATTCAAATTATTATGTAGGTTATCACAAACCTTCTTTATCTACTGAACCAAGGAGAAACATTCACTAACATTAGTTTTCTTTTTAATTGTGCCAGAAAGGATTAGATCTATTTCTTTTTTTTTTTTTTTTTTTTTTTTTTTTTTTCAGTTTGTTTCGTTATGGATTTCTAATATATTAAGTGTATATATTGCAGGAAATATGCTGCATTGTCACGAAATTTTCCCTTGTTGAATGACTATTTTCTGTGTTATATGAACAGGTTGAACTGGCAGAAGTTTTCTTTGCTGTGACAATGCTCTTCCAATCTAGGGATATAGGCTTGAGGAGAATGGTCTATGTGATGATAAAGGAGCTATCTCCATTAGAGGTTGTATATCTTTAATTTTCCAAGCTTGTTGAATAAAGTTTTGTGTGCATGCATCTGTGCAAATTTAGATACCAACTAATGCTTATTTCCGTTGAGAGAGGTTGTTATTGTCACAAGCTCTCTTATGAGGGACATGACTAGCAAGACTGATATACATCAAGCAAATGCTATTTGTGTGCGTTGTAGGATAACAGGTGGAACTCTTCTAACCCAGATTTAGAGATACTTGAAACAAGCAATTGTTGACAAAAATCCAGTTGTTGCAAGTGCTGCCTTAGTCAGTGGTATTACTTTTTTTTTTTTTGGGGGGGGGGGGGGGTTGGTTTTCATATAGTTTTTAAATTAATTATCAAAACTCTAGTGACTTGTTAGCATGTTGTAAATATTTTGGCAAACAAGCCCTGAGATTGTCAAATGATGGAATAATGAGGTTGAAGAAGCTGTTCAATCCAAAGCAACCCTTGTGCAGTTTCATGCTCTGGCATTGCTCCACCAGGTATATTACATTCTTTGGTTGAAAATTTTTGGGGTTCTATTTGGTAGTTGAAGTTAGTTGCTAGATTCTGGCCTAACCTGTTAACCAATTTACGTCTTGTGCTTATGAAGATAAGAATCTTCCTTAAAATAGGTTGTAGTAAAGTTTTATTGTATCTTCTGATTTATTTTAGCAACCTTGTTGGGTTTGTTTTTACTGGATTTTAAGATATTTCATGCTTAGCTCATTAGCCAAGTTAGAACAGTACTTAAAGGTTTATCTGCAGCAAGTGGTAGCAAAAATGTACAAGACAAAGGAAAGTAAAGTATTTTTTATGCGGTAGAACCTACGGTATTTTTTGCATGTGTGCGTATATGCAAGGTTGGATTTGGAATGATGATCATTAAATTGGATCTTGTCAGTTTGTGTAAAATTAAATCACATCTATGATGAATATACGGACTTTCATACTTGCAGATACGGCAAAACGATAGACTAGCTGTTAATAAGCTGGTTAGTAGTTTGACTAGGGGGAGTGTCCGTTCACCTTTAGCCCAATGCGTATTGATACGTTATAGTAGTCAGGTATTCACCATCTCTAAATTATCTTTGCCCTTTTGCCAACCTTTTGGTTCATGAACATTATAAAGTAATTGGCAAATCTGCAGGTTATTCGTGAGTCAGCCAACAACACTCAAACGGGGGAACCGCCCTTTTTATGATTTTCATAAGGGCTGTCTGCGCTATAAGGCTGAGATGGTGATTTTTGAGGCTGCTAGAGCAAACACAAAGCTCAATGGTGTGACAAGCCGAGAATTGACTCTAGCAATTACAGTTCTTCAACTCTTTTTAAGCTCTTCTAAGCCGGTGTTGAGATTTGCTGCAGTTTGTACTTTGAACAAGGTTGATTTATTTTCCTTTGCTCAGTAATATGTCATGCTATTGTATAGATATCTATGTTGTTGGTTCAACAAAATGAAAGCCAAGAATTTTGGTGAGAGGGGCTAGGATAGTTTCTTCTGCAAATTTCAGAAGTTCAAACACACTTATGGAGCTTGTTGAAAGTGTTGTTACTAATTACTATATTGTTTAGAAGACGTTTAATCACTTTTCAATCATAAATGATTATTGTTTCTTTCTAGTTGAGATGCATATATTTTCTGTGCTTTCTGATTTCTGACTGTCTGACTTCATTTCTTTTGAGGTTGCAATGACTCATCCCATGGCTGTCACTAACTGCAATATTGACATGGAAAGTTTAATTTCTAAACATAGGCATTGCCAAACTTGCAATGGTTCGTGTCAGGGCTGCACTCTAATCTTAATACACTTGGAGGTAATGGTGCAGTTGTTGAAACATATATGTAATTTTTGTAGTTTTATTGAATAGAATTTATAAATAATTTTGTAAAATATTTTACATTCTTTTATAAACAAGATGGAGCATTTTGTTTATTTATTATTTCTATTTATATATATTTAGTATTCATTTAATTATTTTAAAAATAATTTAAAAATAAAATAAAATGATAAAAATTATAAATAAAATATATTAAATATAATCGAAAAATAAATATTACTGATGAATTTATCGATAGATTTTATGATGTGTAATTATTGATAGAATTTTTGTCAATAATTTTTATCGTTAATAATTTCATTATTGACGTAAAATTTGTTGATAATTATCAATGAATTTTGATTTTTATTGACGGAATAGCATTATTGACTTGATTAACATTGACAAAAATTTTTCGTTGGTAAATTTGTCGGTAATATTATTATCAATAGAAAATTGATTCTTACGAACAAAAAATTTCATCCCGTACAAGGTTTTTTTTTTTTGGTAGTGATTCGTGGAAGGTAAAACGATGAGAGTAGATTTTTTACTCCTATAAATATTGGTTCAATCTAACAAACGGTGAAAAAAATTAAAAAGGAAATAAAGGTTTTTAAGTTTTCACACAGTAAAATAATTATCCTTTAAAGCATAGATAATTAAAACAAAAAAAATACACATGACATACTATTAGAATCTTACAAATGAAAGTAATATTGTTAGATTAAAAAATTTACTTTAATAATTAAAAACTTCAATACTAATAAAAAATAAATAAAATTAGAGGTATAATTAATTAAAGTTCGATATCTGTTGAACATTCAATTATGGTATACTTATCAAGCAGTTTGGCAGGTAATGTGATTTTGAAATTGATTATGAGTAAAACAAATTTTAATTCAAGTTTGTATATGTTTGCATAGAGACATCATTTAAGGAACCAGAATTTCAATGTTAATGAGAAAATAAAAATAAAAATTAGTTAATATTTTAATTTCATAAAAATAATTATTTAAGGATAAAATAGTTAATTTAATAAATTATTAAGAATATATATGGTTAATTATTTATATTTTTTTCCTTGTTTTCCAAAGCAAACAAATTGAGAGTATAAAAAATTTCAATATTAGCAAATTGTTCATATGCAACTTTTCTTTATACATATTTGAATTTGTCAAAAATTAAACCTTAATTATTGGAACAAGATTATGACATTTTACTAACAAATATGATTATTGACTTCCTTCCTTTTTTTTTTATATAAATTTTTTTTTTGGTCATTCAAGAGAGGCAGAGTCCTACAATAAAAGGAGGGGAAAGTTGGGATTTGAACCTCAACTTTAATGTCTTTTTTAAAGTTGTCTTGATCATTAGGTTGAACAATTAAAGATAAATTTTTTATATAAATTGATTTGAGGATTTGAATTTAAGTTTTTATGAAAGAGAATCATGCACCAACCAAATCTTTGAATTCTCATTTAAAATTTATTTAATTAGCCTAAAATGTTAAAAACATATTTGTTTGATTCAGGGGTTTAGATATGATAACTGTGTGCAAGGCATAATGTTTGTAATGTTGGCATTTATGCACGTTTACCAGTAGTGCAAGCCAAGTCCACAACACGTCGCATGCCATAAATCGTGTAACCAAGTTTTTATTTTTTATTTTTTGTATTTTATTTTCTTAATCTTACTAATATTGGCAAGCATTTATCATTTATGTCTTATGTTGGACCCAATTTTCTCCTTATGAAAGGCATTGGAGGAAAGCCCTACACTTCATCCATCCTTATTTCTTTCTCTTTTCGGCTTTATAATTTACATTGCAGATTAGTTGTATTGGAAGATATTGTCATGGCTTTCACTCGCTTCTTTGTTCCTTTCTCATTGCTTTTCTTGTCATTGCTAGTCATTGCTTTTGCTGCTGATTATGGTAATGATTCTTCTAAATATGGTTATCATGGAATTCCAGCTGAAAGCCCTCAGCAAATGCCAGAAGGGAGAAGCAAAGCCCGAGTATGGTTCAAAGCAAGCAGAGAAAAAGCCTGATTATGGTGAAAAACCAGTCATTTACAAGCCAAATCCCGAAGAGAAACCTGGTTATGATAGGAAACCAGAAGGAGAAGAAAAGCCCAATTATGGCACAAAACAAAACAATTACAAGCCAGAGCCAGAAGAAAAAGAAAAGCTTTGGTCCATTGCTGTTGAAGGGCTTGTTTTATGTAAATCAGGTCCCAAGCATTATCCAATTCAAGGTAATGTCTCTTTCTAAATTGTGACTTTGACTAAAATTAAGTATTCAGCTTCACTATCATTCATATTTTTACTAATAAATTTCTTAATTTCCTGTGACTGTAGGGGCTTTAGCAAAGGTAACATGTCACGCTGTTGATGAGATTGGTCACGAGAAAACTCTACCTATTTGCAGTGTACCAACTGATGCAAAGGGTTACTTCTTTGCAACAGTGTCTTCTTTAAGTGTGGCTGATAAGTCTTTGAAGCTTAAAGATTGCAAAGCATTCCTTGAAAGGTCTCCATTGGAAACCTGCAATGTTCCAACAAATGTCAACAAAGGGATTATTGGTGCTCCTCTTTCTGGCAGCTATCGAGTTCTCAATGAGAAGCATTCAAAATTGTATTCCGTGGGGCCTTTCTTCTTCACCTCTGAACCTAACTCAGTCCCTAATGGTTACTAGAATTTGAGTTGATTCTTCATGAACAACATTCTGTTTCTTTTCCACCATTTTTTTTTTGTTCTGTTTTTGGATTGAAGAAGGCTACTGGAGTTGATTCTTTTCTGGTTTACTTTTCTTTCTTTGGTGGCTAATGGTTTTTGTTGTTTAATGATGATTTTTTATTGGCAAAGCTGGAGTTGCAGCCTCTGCCGATTGATATGTGTAATGAGCTTTACTAAGCAATAAAGCAATTTGATATCAAGCAAATTGCAGATGTGATTTGAAATGATATGAGTAAGGCAAATTTAATTAATTATGTTTGCATACGGCATATAAGGAACCAGAATTTAATGGTAATCAATAAAAAATTAGTTAATATTCATTTAAGGATAAAATAGTTAATTTAATAAATTATTAAGAATATATATGGTTAATTATTATATTTTTTTCCCTTGTTTCCAAAGCAAACAAATTGAGAGTATAAAAAATTTCAATATTAGCAAATTGTTCATATGCAACTTTTTTTTTTATACATTTTTGAATTTGCCAAAAATTAAACCTTAATTATTGAAACTAAAATTATGACATTTTACTAACAAATGTGATTATTGACGTCTTTCCTTTTTTGTTTTTTATATAAAATTTTTTTTGATCATTCAAGAGGGGTAGAGTCTTACATTAAAAAGAAAGAGAAGGCTGAGATTTGAACCTCAGCTTTAATGTCTTCTTTAAGGTTGTCTTGGTCATTAAGCTAAGCAGATGAAGACAAATTTTTTATATAAATTGATTTGAGGATTTGAATTCAAGTTGTTATGAAAGAGAATCATGCACCAACCAAATCTTTGAATTCTCATTTAAAATTTATTTAATTAGCCTAAAATGTTAAAAACATATTTGTTTGATTCAGGGGTTTAGCTATGATAACTGTGTGCAAGGCATAATGTTTGTAATGTTGGCATTTATGCAAGTTTACCAGTAGTGCAAGCCAAGTCCACAACACGTTGCATGCCATAAATCGTGTAACCAAGTTTTTATTTTTTATTTTTTGTATTTTATTTTCTTAATCTTACTAATATTGGCAAGCATTTGTCATTTATGTCTTATGTTGGACCCAATTTTCTCCTTATAAAAGGCATTGGAGGAAAGCCCTACACTTCATCCATCCATATTTCTTTCTCTTTTCGGCTTTATAATTTACATTGCAGATTAATTGTATTGGAAGGTATAGTCATGGCTTTCACTCGCTTCTTTGTTCCTTTCTTATTGCTTCTCTTGTCATTGCTAGTCATTGCTTTTGCTGCTGATTATGGTAATGATTCATCTAAATATGGTTATCATGGAATTCCAGCTGATAGCCCTCAGCAAATGCCAGAAGGAGAAGCAAAGCCCGAGTATGGTTCAAAGCAAGGAGAGAAAAAGCCTGATTATGGTGAAAAACCAGTCATTTACAAGCCAAATCCCGAAGAGAAACCTGGTTATGATAGGAAACCAGAAGGAGAAGAAAAGCCCAATTATGGCACAAAACAAAACAACTACAAGCCAGAGCCAGAAGAAAAAGAAACGCTTTGGTCCATTGCTGTTGAAGGGCTTGTTTTATGTAAATCAGGTCCCAAGCATTATCCAATTCAAGGTAATGTGTCTTTCTAAATTGTGACTTTGACTAAAATTAAGTATTCAGCTTCACTATCATTCATATTTTTACTAATAAATTTCTTAATTTCCTGTGACTGCAGGGGCTTTAACAAGGGTAACATGTCAAGCTGTTGATGAGATTGGTCACGAGAAAACTCTACCTATTTGCAGTGTACCAACTGATGCAAAGGGTTTTCTTCTTTGCAACAGTGTCTTCTTTAAGTGTGGCAGATAAGTCTTTGAAGCTTAAAGATTGCAAAGCATTCCTTGAAATGTCTCCATTGGAAACCTGCAATGTTCCAACAAATGTCAACAAAGGGATTATTGGTGCTCCTCTTTCTGGCAGCTATCGAGTTCTCAATGAGAAGCATTCAAAATTGTATTCCGTGGGGCCTTTCTTCTTCACCTCTGAACCTAACTCAGTCCCTAATAGTTACTAGAATTTGAGTTTATTCTTCATGAACAACATTCTGTTTCTTTTCCACCATTTTTTTTTGTTCTGTTTTTGGATTGAAGAAGGCTACT